CCCTAGCCCAGAGCTAAGCAAACAGTAGGAGCTCAATAAATATTTGTTAAGTTAAAAAAAATGGTGTATGAATGGACAGGTTCTTGCCTTTAATAAGCTTGTAATTTAAAGAAAACTTACAGCTTTAATACAAGATAGAATGTGGTAAATACTGAATAGAGGGTGCAAGGAGAGAGAGATGAGTTCAGACGGGTCTCTCAGGGAAGGACCAGGGAAGAAATGCCATGTGAGATGGGCCTCATAGGTCAGCATTTCAACCGGTGAAGACTGGGGAGTAGCACATTCAAGGCTGAGGAAACTAGAGGAAAGGCACAGAAATGCGGAATTATATAGCACGTTTAGGGCGTGGTGTGGGCTCAGTGATGCAGCACCCGCAGAGCATGGGAGGGTGCTTATAGAAATAAGGCTGGAAGGGCTCATTCAGATCACGGAGGGCCTGAAATCCAAGGTAAGGGGGGATCGCTTAAGGCTTCTGAGGGGGAGGTGACTTTGAGTATGAGAAAGACAATTCGTTAGTATATATAAGTCAGTTCTTCAGCCCAACAAACCTTTCTAGGGTTTCTGGCAAAAGCTACTTCTCCAGTTAGAGGGTTGATGGTGGCCATGTGCCTGCCATGTGCCAACACTTCCTAGACCACATTTCACCAGTCCCCGGAGCAGCCACTGGCACCCCCAGCTTTAGCTGAGTAAACAGAGGCTCTGAGGGTAACTTGATCAGGCAGCAGCCTTAGTGAGTGGTGGGCTCTGCTAGATTTCAAAGCCATTCCCTGCAGATCGGCTGTGTTCCCACTGGAAGCTGCCTGTGAGACACAGTGCATCCTGTTAGCTGGGAGAAGCATGGAGCCAGTAGGGAGCGGCAAGGCTTGGTAGGCATGAAGTGATGCCAAGCGGCCAGATGCAGACAGACACGGCATGCCGATCCGGTTCACCTTTGTCTGGCAGGCTAGGCAGTATCAACAGCCTCAACTGGATATGAGTGGAGGTGCTTCTCACACACACTCTACGCCTCTCCGAAGGAAATCTTGCAAAAGCAGAAAAAACCCTTATTTATCATGAAAGGCCACATCAAGTAGAAGAGTGAGGGGCAGAGGGCAGAAAGCAACACTTAAAAGTACAACTGTTTGAAAACAGAATGCTTTCCATTAGGTCTGTGCAGCTGTGTACATAACAGAAAAATGGCTGTTTGTTGCATTTAACACACATGTGCATTAGGACCTCTTCCAACTGAGCATCACATCTTCCCCTGGCAGTCAGGATGGCCTTATAAGTGGGAGAGGAAAAGGTTCTTTCATATGATGCAACTTTAACCTTGCCAGGGAGGCCTACTTGGCTTAACAGATATGCTCATCAGAGTGCCATAGACCCCAAAGTTCTACCCTTATAGATTAACTTCTTTGGGTTAATCATTGCCTTGAGGGTGAAGATGGATTCTCTTTTAAAGCACTAATTACTCTGGGAGGAGCAAAACCACCATACCCCTAACATCTTGGTGCCAGTGGTTTTCTTGAGCTGCTTCTATACAGACTGTCCAGGCTCATCGGCTCCTGGAGATGAGAGTGGGGTGGTAGGAGGAGAGAATAGGCCATAAGCAGGCTAGGGACAAGCACTCACCATCCCAAGTGAATTCCACACAAGTCAAGCATGAGGGGCAGCTAACGAAGTCCTACAGCAATGCAGGTTTATTGGGCCCAGTGTTTACATCTGTAGTTTGAGAATTTTTTCAAGTC